GTCGAAAGTAAAATATAAACAATATTATGACGTCATGATAATAAAGCTTTTTTTTTTTGCTTTTAAACAAATTTGACCTGTGAAAACTGTCAGGACTTCCGTACAAATAATATTATATGATTTCTTAGGAGAAGGGAATTTAACTACATATAATTTAATATTTTATTTTTAGTTAGGTAGGTACAATACATAAACCAACTGTATCGGGCATATAGTGGTACCTATGATCAGTGCCGCATTTAGGGGGGGGGCACTGGCTACAACTGCCCGGGGCGCCAGTATTTTGGGGGCGTCGAAATTTTGTGGTCGGAAATAAAAAAATTAATAAAAATAAAATGAAAAATGAACTTTTAAAATGTAAATTATTTTAATAACAGACAACAGTAGGTATTATATAATATTAATGTATTATGCTGTTTGAAATTAAAACAACTAATGTATTACGCCGGACTGCAAGCAAAAATAAAAGAAGCCAATCCCTTAGCAAAATTTGTACCATGCTCTGCGCATTCCCTTAACCTGGTTGGAACTAATGCAGTTGATTGTTGTACTCAAGCCGTTTTATTCTTCAATTTACTTCAAAATGTTTACACGTTTTTCACAGCTTCTACTCACCGCTGGAAAGTTCTAAACGCTTCTGTTAAGGGACTTTCAGAAACAAGATGGTCAGCTAGAGATGACGCTTGCCAATCTCTGAACAAAAACTGGTCTTTAATTATTAATGCATTAAATTTAATAAATAATGATGATACTGAGAAAACACTTACTCGAAATGAAGCTAGTGGAATTCTCAACAAGTTAAATAATTTAGAAACTGCATTCCTATCTATATTCTGGGGTCAAATATTACACCGATTCAACTTAACGAGCAAGAAATTACAAGCTGTCAATATCGATTTGGGTGTAGTGTGTGAATTGTATAAATCATTAATAACATATATCATTGATTTACGCTTTGATAAAAACTATGAGTATTTTAAACAATGTGCAATTGAAAAAAGTAAAATTAAGCAGTTTCAATCCTGTACCAAACGATTAAAAATAAGAAAACAATTTTTTGATGAAGGGCCATCTAAAGAAACAACAGTTGAATACTCTGATTTTAAAGTGAAAACTTATTTTGTTATACTTGATCAACTGCGGTCACAACTAGAAAAAAGAAATGAAAAATATGAAAATCTACTTAAAAATTACAACTTCTTTTTCAAATTAACAGAGATGACATCAATTAAAGTCCGAAAGAATGCTGAAATACTACAAAATGAATATAAAGATGATCTCAGTACTTTATTTGCTAATGAATGTGTTCATTTTAGGAGCCACTTATTAAGTATCGGTGACGAGGTTCCTAAGACTATCCAGGATATGTGTGGTGTTTTGAGAAAAAATGATTTAATAGGAATGTACCCTTATATAGATGTATCTCTCAGAATGCTATTATGTACTCCTGTAAGTGACCGAACGGTCATTCTCATGTTTAAAACGTGTCAAAACATATCTGAGGTCTTGTATCTCAGCAGAGAGACTCAGTGATTTAGCTATTATGAATATAGAATTTGATGTAACAGCTAAAATTGAATTTGATGATATTATCAATGAATTTGCTACACTACAAAGTAGAAGAAAAATTTAGGTACCTAAACAAATATTTTATTATATTTTTATATTGTTCTTATTAATATTTGTACTTATTTTAAAAAAAATAACATATGATGTAAATTATAAGCAGGACTCAAGTGGAATACACTCAATTGTATCTATGGGGGGCGGGGGGGAGTGTTCATGGAAATATTAAACAATATTTTTAAAAAAAACACATTATTGTAAAACAATATTCTTTTCTTTGCTCAAAATCTAAAAGGTTCATGAGAATTTATCCTCCATATTTCCCATATATGGGGTTAGGCCTCATACGGGGGCTCCAAATTTTTTTTGCACCGCAGCACAAAATGTCTAAATGCGGCACTGCCTATGATAGTAGGGCAGTATAGGTATACACGTGCATGGTATATCTAATATATTCGTATTTGATATATTAATACATTGTATTACTCTTTCAAGCTTTTGTACAAAAAATCTATGAAAAAAAAACAAGACACTCGAAAATTTCAAATGTCTATTATAAGCTCAAAAAGGGCTGTCATAAAGTATGCGGTCTAAAGGCAAACCCGTTCCACCGACAACTGTCATCTGTTATAGGATAATATTCCTCGGCCGGTTTTTAAATTTACTGATCTAGGGAAATTTCCAACTCAAAATAATTTGCATATTTTCGTGATTCTTACGCTATTTGTCAAAATTCAAACTTTAAGTAATTTAAAAGAAATTGTGAATGTTTTTTAAATATTTTTCAACTGTAATTGTAGCAACATATTATTAGCCTTGTATTAAATTTTCAAGCTTTTTGACATTACAATTTTATTGATAGGTATTCATAGAAAAAAAAAAAACTAAAAAAATCGGAAACAGTTGAAAACAATTCAAAGTATTTTGAAAATTTTACAGTGTATAGAAAATGCTAGTATAAACATTCAGTGAAAATGTATATACGGTCATTTGTTTTAGAGTTACACCAAAAACCAAAATCAATTTGGTCATAAACCAGAATTTGTGTAAAAATTCCCGTTTTTCCTGCGCTTTTGGAAACTATTGGAAATTTAAAATGTTGACCTCTTAGATTCACTTTCCCATCGAACAAGTAACTGTTGAAGAAAATCGAAGCAGTTTTATCACCCCAAATGGTGATGACGGACACAAAATAAAAATACAAAAAAAACTCAAAATGTCATCATTGTAAAATCAAGACATTCATCGTCCTGCTCAGAATTTAAAATAAATAAAAAGAAAACCTAAAAAAATATTTTTTTTAAATTATATAATTTTTTTTTTGTAATATATAATATATGTAATTTCAATATTAAACCGATTGTTACATTTAATGATTTAAGCTTACTGTCAGTCTTAGGCATTTACGTACTTATTATGTACCTACCTAAAGATTATAAATAAAACTTTTATTGCAATACTTTCCTTATCATAATTATTTGAATATTTATTTGTATATATTATAATTGTAAAATTAATCTTCTGTCAAAGAAAAATTTGGACGTATTTTTGGTGATGATGCCGATGATGGACATACATTTTAAAACTAAAGTTCTGTAAGTTTCTGTAAGCGTTATTTTCACGTCGCTTGATTTTGTAATTTGTTACAATGACGCCGCGTTTAACGCGTTCTGTTTGATAGAGCCTTTCTACTCACAAATGTAATAATTTTATTCACAGGATATTTAATATTTACGTTGTGAAATATTAATATAATTAAAAATCTTCGTGTTAGTATAAGACTACATGTTTTATATTAAGGAATTAATTGCTTTTAGATGCAACTGCAGTGTTCTGATATAGCACAGATAGATAAAGTAGGCATACCTACTGAGTACTCAGAATACTCGAGTACCTATTAGTGTAGTTGAAATTGTAAATAAGTCTATGTTTGCCTACAGGTATTCCTCTTGTTCGACGTGTTTAAATACGCAGAAGTCAAAATTTATATTATGTTCAAATTTTAGAGTATGTAGGTTTAAGTAAAAAAAAATTTACAATTTTGTGACACCTTATTAGTTATGAGTCCTCCTTAACACCTAACCTAACCTAACCCTCCAAGACTCTGCGGGCGGCCTTGGAGCCTTGTAAGTTAAGAATATGATTTTGTACAAATATCAATATGTTGCAATATAATTTATATATAATATAATTGTCATCATATTAATTATTACAGATTTTTAATAAACGACTTTATGATGTTTTTCAAAGCGTATAAAATATTAATAATCAAATATATTATTGATTCTAAATGGTTTCAAAAATTAAAACAAATATAAAATAGTATTTTTGTAAATCAGAAATCTATAATAATAATATGAGATATATGCACATATGCTTTATACTCTTATTTCAGATGTGTGTGATAAGAAATATATTATATTAATATTTTATTTTATTTGAAACACTTGCAGATATCATAAGAAAAATAATAATATTATACTGATTCGTTTAGTAATTTCGTACAAAGTCACTGATAATTTTACATTTTTAACTTTTATAAATATAAATATATATAACTATATTTTTAGAACTTCTAGACTAAAAAGAACATAATATTATATATTACTGTGGTATACTTGATGCTATATGATCATTATCAGAGTGTATCATATGCCATAATTATGTAATTAGACACCGTATTTTAATGCAGAGAAGATATTTTTTGAAATGAAATAAAATATAATATATTATATAGGTAATCAAATAAAACTTGGCAATGAAATAACGTATTTTACTAATTTTTTAAATCTAAATAAATATTAAAAGATCAAATGCAATAAGACGTATTCGTAATAATTTATTGTAATTAAAAGATACAGGTGAATTATCAATTTTATTATTTTTATAATTAAATGTAATTATTAAAAGGACGTCGTACCCTCCGAAGTTTTCTCCGTCTTATAAACGCGTACGACATAACATATTTTCGTTCACCAGTTTCAATAGTGTGCTGTTAGTTTTGATATTAGAGTGAATTGACATATTATAAAATTTAAATGTAAGATTATTATCTAGGTTTTATTGATATTATTATTTTTAAGTAAGTTATGACCTTTTTGAATCTGTACGTTTTAAAATAATCAAAACTTACTTAAAATACATTAAAACCTTACGTGGGGCCCTAGATAATAATCTTACCTTATACCGAATTGTATAATAAGTCAATTCACTCTAATATCAAAACTAGCTCACTTTTGAAACTGGTGAACAAAAATGTGTTATGCCGAACGTGTGTAAGATACAGACAACATATTATGTGGGTTCGACGTCTTCTTATATGCACAATAATCGTTATTAATTAAACAATCAATGATAATATTTTGATATTCCAGTTGATCACATATTTTATGCAAACTCTTCAAAAAGATCAAGATCTTTTTTTAATTTTAGTTTTATGAAAAATATAATATAAGAATATCTTGGAATTCTATAATATCGATTCCATCAATAACTTCAACATTTTTTGGTTTAGCTGTCGCTTGTGCATAATCAACAAGTAGCCCACCACGTGCTTCACCAGCCATAATTGGTGTTATATTTACAAGAAAAGAACTTGTAATCAAATTTGGCCACATCATTACAGCTACGATTAAGGAATCACAAGGTTGCCAAGTTCGTGTTCTTCTAATTTTTGATTCTGCTTGATTTAAAAATTTCATGTATTTCGATTCAATAATACCAAGTACATCTGTTCTCCATGACTAAAAAAATAAAAAAAAAAAATAAGTGATTAATAAATTATTTAGTCGTTTTTAATTTTTCATATTTTACCATTGGTATATCAATTATTAAATTTGCCTCCCAGGGTAGTAATAAAATATCCACTTCTTGAGTTGAATTGAAAAATATAAAATTACTCTCTGCATCCAAGCCGAAATTGAATTCCACGCCTGGACGACTATTTCCATAGCCAGAAACACTACCACCCATGACATAAAAGCGCTTGACTTTTTGAACAAATGTTGGGTCCAGTGATATTGCAAGCGCGATATTCGTGGTTGGTCCAAGTACAATTATGCTCAATTCACCAGGATATGTATTAGCTAAATCAATTAATGCAACTGCTGCATGCTTTGATCTATCAATATTACTAGTGATTTCTTGATCAAATTCAAAATCACCAAATCCATCATTACCAAAGAAATAATCAGATGTATGATTCTGGGTCAGCGGTTTGGAAGCACCTGAGTAGACTGGAATCTATGAACAAATTAAACTCTTGGTTTAAAATTGATATCAATAAAAATATATATATTATATATTTTTTGTCATAGTTACTTTTATTTCATTTGCAATTGACAGTGTCTTGAGCACATTTTGTTCGACGTCGCTCAATTTAGAGTTACCATAAACGCAAGTTATTGCTTCAACATTGAAATATGAGTCGTTGTAGTAGGCATTCGCTGTTAATAGAAGCAAAATTGCCATTGCATCATCAGCACCACCGTCCGTGTCAACCACAATTTGTCCATCACTTTTCACTCTAGTATAATCAATTAAATTGGGTTAAAACATGTATTTTAATATTTTATAGTTAAAATATGCAGACAATATAATGTTATATATTATTTATTTAAAAAGCAATATTTAAAATATTTAAATAATAATTTTTAATTAAAACTTTATGAAAGTTATATTACCCAATTAAAATTGTGATTACAATTAATCTAATCGGAATTAGTAATTCTTTTTTTTTCATCATTGCTGGATGTAGGATGGTTGTTATTTAACCTATAAAATAATAAGTATGATGCGAATTATAGGTATTTTCAAATTAAAGAGCGTTAATTACCTACCTAGATAGCTACGTGTGTAATACTTGTTAAACGTTTTAAACATACGTTAAAGGTCAGTAGCTGGATCAAGCTGTTTACCAAATTTGGATACACGATTTTCTTATATTTAGTTTTATTTGACAATACCTTAGTGGCTATTAGTATTAGAGCTAGTTGTACCGTTTCGTGTTAAAATATTGGTTATTAACTTAACGGTAACATTTTAACAACTGTATACAACCAGGAGAATTGACCTAATAAATTAGATAATTAATTATTAATACAATATATATATAGATACCCTACCTATCATTAATTTAAGATTTTGGAATTTACTAATGTGTATTCATATATTATTATGTAATGAATAGGCGATTTATTTATATCACTATTTCACTATAATACTAAGATATCAGAAGATCATTACCAACATTTATATTATAATTTATAATTTTAATTACTAATTTAATTATTTTTATTTTTATTAATTTATAAGTATTAGGTAAGCATGTATTAATTTAATTCAATTTTTTAAGAATTAATTATGTGTGTAAACTTACAAATAATTTTATAAATCACTACCTATTGCAATATATATAAATATAAGCCTAGCAAATACATGGATATATTACAAAAAGTATATTACATGTACTTATATAAATTATTCATATAAATATATAATAATTTTTATTAATTTTATTAATTCTAATAAACGTCTATAAATAGATCTTAGACATTACTACAACAGTAATGCCGGGCCTTTAATTTAAAATAAAGGAATGGACCGAGCTTTTTTTGTTATATATTTTAGATTGGGCCGGACTGGACTTAGAATAACAAATCAAGGGTTTTGCAGCTATTTTTTAAGCCTTGGAATTTTATTGAGGACCAAGCCTGGGATTTTTTTTTACAATTTTTCGGGCCGGGTGGGGGCTTATTTAAAATAATAAATCAAGTGTAACAGGGTTTTTTTAAGGATTTTTCTTCGAAAATTAATAATCATAACTTAAAATAATAAATAATAATGATAGAATTCATGTTGAATTTTTTACATTTTTAAACCAGTCGTACAAAAAAATTTAAGACTGGACTAGGCTTTTTTAACAAAATGTTATGCACCAGCCTTAAAAAAATATGTCAGTCCACTCAGCCACTCCGTCCCCCTATTTTAAATTTACTCTTAATTATTCTATAGGTAATATTATACTGATATACTATATATTATGCTAATATAATATATAATATATAATATATATATCAATCTTACACATTTAAATACCTATTATGTGCCTAAAGATTATAAAAAAACATTTATTGCAAAATTTTACTCGTCATATTTATATACAAATAAATCATAATTGTAAAATTGTGCTTCTATAATGTATAATATAATATTAACGTATTTTTTGTTATCATTTGTAAACATAAGTCATATATAATGTTAGTTATGCCCAAATATGCAGTAAAATACTATTAATTAGGTACAGGTATCAATTTATTATTTTTTTAAATTTATTAACACAACATTATATTTTTGATTTAAAATTTAAATAAATTGGTAAAAATATTCTTTTAACTTGCAAATTAAACATTTTAAATTTCATAATTTTATTTTTATAATTTATAAATTAAACTAGCTGACACAGCAATGTTTTTCTCTTGTTAAGTATTTGTAATGGTTCATCTCCTTTTAGGTGTAACACGCTGTGGAAGCAATGTCTTTTTAAGTGTAAATTATATTATAGTTCAATTTATAGCCGTCCCGACCGGCGTTGTGCTCGTTGAGATTCGCCTGTGATTATGCGAGCGCCGAGCAGAATATTAACAGTTATCAGGTAAGCAATCTACTTGCGATAGTTACAGTGGCACGTACGTAAGTGTAAAATTTAACTCTAAACTCTAAAGTATCAAAAAAATTAAAAAATTGGTACTCCAAGATCGTGGTTCGAAATCGGTAACATTCTGTGCTTACAGCAGGGCTTAATCGTTATAAAATCGAAACTGAAAAAAAAAATTGTAAACCGGGAAAAATTGGATACTAATATTAACTTCAAAACCGAAACTGAGAAAAATTGGATACTGGTATTATAATTAAAAACCTAAACCAAAAATTAGAATTTTAAAAACGGTAATTTTTTTAAAAATCTTTGGATCTTGACATTTTGGAAAGTTTACTTTACACAAAAGGATCCAGCGATTCAAACAAATTAATAAACTAAGAATGAACTTAAAAAGTCCAGATTTTGAAACTGATTTTAGAAACCAGTATAAACCGTTTAAAAACTGAAACCGAAAACAAAATTAAAAACGAAATCCGAAAAAATTGGAAAACCAGAAACGAAATTTCCTAATACCGGTATTGAAAAATTGAAACCAAAATCGAAAAAAAGACCGGTACCTATACAAAATCGAAACCAAAACCGAATTTTTTTAATCGGTTTCAAGAATTAATTCAAATACAGGTTTATCGCATTAATAATATTAATAATTATTATTATTAAAACCAATAGGTAGCAACCATATTTTATAAACAACAATATTCCCATCGTAAATCTCAAATCCCTGTTTGAAAAAGTCCCCGGATTGGACTTATCATAGTCTAATTTACACTTTTTCGAGACAAAATTTAACCTATCTTCTTTCCCAAGGTTTAATCTATCCTGTACCAAATTGCATTGCAATCGGATGCACAGTTCAAGAATGAATAAAGCAGGACACAGAAAAAACTTTTTTGTTTTCTTAATTTGTTGTAAATCAAAAATTAATAACCGTAAACATGTAAAACCACGAAAATGTGCAAATTATTTAAAGTTAGAAATTCCTAACAAATTTTCTTTTTAAATCTTAGATTTTAAAATGTAATACAAGTTTCCTTATAACTTATAAGGTTATCTACCTTGATCATAGAAAAAAAATGTCTATAAGAAAGTCAAATTAAATTCTTATAAACGTTTTAAGTTCAAATTTTTACAACATTGGATATTCACTCGATTGCTTAAGTTTATTTATAGGGTTGCCATTGGTTACATATTATATAACTAGGTATGTATTATAATAGAATTATCTCAAATATGGTATATACTTTATTTGACAAATTTTTTTTAATATTTATAAGGCGGAATAGCTAGAAAAGTAGATCATACATGCATTTTTTTTTAGTTAAGGAGAAAATGAATTTTTTATGGCGGGGTTGCCATTATTTGGTCACATATTATATTACTATTAGATTTTGAGTGAAACGATGAATGTATTGATTTAACAATGATGTGTGTTTTTTTTTTTTTTTTTTTTCTTTTTTTTTGTGTCTGTGTACACGATAAGTAGTCGAAATAATGTTTCGATTTTCAACTTCAGTACCTTGTTCTATTGGAAAGTGAATATCTTTGGTGCATTGGGGAGGTCAAAATTTAAGATTCCCAGTAATTTTCAAAAGTGCCAAGAAAAACCAAAGAAAAATTAAGGAAAAACGGGAATTTTTACACAAAATCGATTTTTCCAAAATTGAATTTGGTTTTTGGTGTAACTTTAAAAAAAAATGACCATAGATACATGAAATTTTCACTGGTTGTTTATATTTGCATTTTCTATACACGATAACATTTTCAAAATATTTTGATTTATTTTGAACTGTTTAGGGACATTTTCATTTTCCATTTTTTTTAGTTTTTTTTCTAGAAATATCAATAAAATTTTATTTGTTGGTTAGAAAAGCTTGAACATTTAATAGAAGGCTCCTAGTATATTGTTTCAAAGACAGATCAAAAATATTAAAATTCCTTAGTCACAGGTTTTTTTTATAAGCATTTAAAGTTCAAAAATTGACAAAATATGGAAAAATCAAGAAAATTAGCAAATTATTTAGAGTTAAGAATTCGAAAAATTTTTCTTTTTAAATCTAAGATTTTAAAATATAATACAAGATTCCTTATAAGATTATCAACTTTTATCAAAAAAAAAAAATGTCTATAAGTAGGTAAGTCAAATTAAATTTTTATGAGCGTTTGAAATTCAAATTTTTACAACATTGGATATTCACTCGATTTCTCATGTAGCGATTTCTTAATTTTGTTGTAATTCAAAAACGAATAACTATAGATACATGAAAATTTCACTCAATGCTTATATTAGCATTTAATATACACCATACAATTTTGAAAATATTTTGACTCTTTTTGAGCTGTTTACGGACATTTTCAGTTTCCAATTTGTTTAGTTTTTTATTCTATAAATATCAATTAAGTTTTATCTGTTCGGCCAAAAAGTGTAAAAATGTAATACAAGGCTAATGATATATTGTTACAATATCAGTTGAAAACAATTTGAAATACATAGACACAATTTGTTTTTATAAGCATTTAAAGATCGAATTATGACAAAATTTATCAAAATTTTCAATCATTGAAATTAATAAATTATAAAATGTCCAGTTTTTATAGCTAAGGGTTACAAATTTAAAAAAAAAGGTTTTCATAAATAGTTCATACTGTAACCAAAAAATCTAAAAAATATATGAACACAGTTATTTTTTACGGACATTTTAAATTCAAATTTGGACGAAATTACATAATAAAAAACCTAGAATAACTATTTTAGTTATTTTGTTGTAATTGTATATTATTCATGGGTACTTGAAACTTCTAAAGTATACTACTATATATCTATGATAGTATTAGGGTTTGTTGTTGGTGTATAACGCGTTATAAGTACCTAATGGATATTGTAATATGATTAATTTGGAATTCATTATAGGTCAATTTTTTTTTAATACCATAGATAAGTATATAATATATTAATATGTCTTATACCTAGAAGGACATACCGTCTCCGCTCAGAATCGTTTTTCTTATACAATGATATAATATCATTGAATTCAATTGTCATACCATCCATTATACAGTGATCCACTTGTAACCTACTGTACAGCAGAGCGACACCCACTTGCCTAAATTTATTAAGTAATATAATATGTGACCAAATAATGGCAATTGAAAACTATAGTTGATAATATATTATAGTACAGGGATGGCAAATTGGCAAATAGGTTATAGTGAACATGTCAAATTATGAAACAATTAAAAAAAAATTGTAGTCACGCCACTAATTAATTTTGTTAACACAGATAATTTTTACAAAATATGTTAGTCTAGAAAAAAATTAACTTTTATTAATTGTTAGAAACATTTCATTTCATATTACTTGAAAGATTTTAATGTCTAATACTCTGCTGAATATGCTGCAGTTTCTTGCAAGGTCTATATAAATAATAAATATATATAGGCACATGAAAGTCTTTTGGGTGCAATCGAACATTTCTCCCGTGCCACTGATTTGCCATCCCTGATATAGTATATACATTTTTACAAATATATTTATATAAATAAAAAACAAATCTCTAGGGCGGGTAACGCTGTGAGGGATAGTAGATAATAAATAAATAAATAGATTTGCAATACTCACATATAACAATAATAATATTGTACGTAGCACAGACTGGACAACTGGTGAATGTATGAAAAATTTGCGAAATTCGAATCGATGTGAATTCACGTGGTTGTGCTGAACGGACAAGAGCGTTTTAATACAGTGGTTATAATAGTGGTGGTCAGCTTCCTCACTACCTGTAGCGACGCTGAGTGACTCCTTTTTGTATGGTGGGGCTGCATGCACCCCATGGAAGGAACGAATATTGGATAGGTGGGATGGGGAGGGGTGCAGATTTACCTAAATCTAACCTTATTTCCGCTAACGGTTATGTTCCGGTTTCCGCTGGCAAAAAATAATACCTGTATCATAATAGGTATTTTTTGAGAACCCTTACCTAAATCCATCAAATTGAAAAATGATTTCGATCTACGCTCATTGTAATATCACCTCACCTATAGCAAGCATCTATATAGGTATAATATCAAAATAGCGAGCTAGTTTAGCTTCGAAATAATACATTAAATTAAAAGAGTAGTACATAAAAAACGTTTTACTAACTATACGAAAAGAAGACTTTTTATTCGTAGCACCTACACCCCGTAATGCCATTTTGAGATGTAGGTACGCCTATATAGGTAACTCATGATTACCTACCTACTTTTATGTATGTAAATTTACATAACATATTAATAAGCCAGTGTTTACTTATTATCACTTCAATATTTATAGACAGACAAAACAAGTTCAACCAACACAGTTAAACAATTAATTAAAAAAACAATAGACGTAATTTTTAGCTAATATTGTCGCCACGTCTGGTTCAAGTGGCAGAGGGCAGCAACTATTTTTCAAAATAATTCGTAGGTACTACACATTTTAATTACAATGATATTAAGATATTTCAGTGACGAAGAGGACCAAGAAATTAAACATATATTGGTATAATATGTAATAAAATATAGGCCCTAACTTTTTATAAATTTAAGAGAATTAAAATCATACCATACTAGGTACCACAGAAAGTTGGTGTATTTAAGGAGATAAAATATATTTCAAATTACACAATCAAATAAGGTACCTATCAATAATCAATTGTGTTGTCAAATATTGTCATATCGAGTAATTTGTTTTAATCTATTGTGTACCTACTCAATAGTCAATTGGAGTTTTAATTCTTGTCTACCCTTACTAATATTATTTACATTTTGAACAGAATAGGTACAATAGATAAAGATATAAAAGACAAAAATAAAAAAAATAAAAAGAATAAAAGTTCAGCATTAATTTTTATGTGATAACGTTTCTATTTTAGGTTCTGAGCGGAGCAAGGAAGCTAGTGGTTTTACAATGGTGTTTATTTTTTTTTTTTTATATCCTGTATACAAAATTTCTACCAGAAGGAGTGCTTTGATTTCAACATATAGTACCTTATCTTTTAGCAAATTGGACCAAGATGGTACTTTAGAGAGGTCATTTTTCGATTTTCTCAATAGTTATTTAATGCCACGGGAAAAAGTACTGAAAAATTACGAAAAACCGCTTAAAATGGGATTTTAATTTCTAACAATTTGTTTATCACCGTAGCAACGAATAAAAAAAAAATAGGTAGGTATTATCTATATAAATATCATAAATTATTAACATGTAGACATTTAATTGGGGCCCTAAAATATTTAATATTTATTTGATGTTTAGCATTGTACAAGTTGTTCATGAGAACAGGTAGTTATATTTGAAATTAAATATTGTGAAAAGTAAATTCAGAAGTATCATGACCCAATACTGTTTGGAATCATTAATTTTACTTTTTACGGAACAAGAAATGGCCTCTAATGTTGAAGTAGATTTAGTTATTACTTATTAATGAATTTAATAATTTAAGTAATAGACGCATATTATTATAAATCTATAACTGTTGTATTAGAATGTTAAATAAACATGTAACTAAGTAAGTAATATTTATTTGTACAGTATAATTTACTAAAATATGTATTATTATGTACAATGTACATGTCTTGTTAAGAGAGGGCCCAAGTTAAGGAAAGGGCCCAAAAATATTGTAGGAAACTAGGAACCCCCCGAAATCCAGGTCTGCGCACGCCTATGTACATGTTATAATAATTAATGACAATATAAAATATACAGATTGACAAACCGTCTCCGTTCAGAATCGTTTTTCTTATACAATGATATTATATCATTGAATTCAAGTTTAATACAATCCATTAAACAATGACCAACTTGTAACCTACTGTACAGCTGAGCGACATCCACTTACCTGCCTTTTTTTTTTATTACGCTCCTATTATTAGGATTGTGTTTATTCGATCTAGTGTTATTTGATCAGAATCTTGTGAGCTTTTAAATAAATTATGTGCGTGTTTGATCCGTAAAGATAAGATACTAGATAGGATAATAGATTTTTAATGGTGTGGTGTCGGGCAACGTGTGGGCATAGGTACCAATAATAAGTGGTATACAGTGCCCAGATGCAGTGGCGTATTTACGGATGAGGGGCATCCATGGGGTCCAGAAATACTTATCTAAACATCTAATATATATATATATTAATATATTCTGTAGCGGAGCCCCCCACTTAAATGTGTTTGGATAATTAGCTGGACCAATGTATGAAATTTCCTAATACGCCACTGGCCAGGTGGCCAGTTTGCTCGACTAAGATTTTTTTGTTCACTGTACGGAATAAAATGTGATTCAAACCATTTTTAGTACATCAAATGGATAAATATTATAATATTCTAACATATAATGTCAAGCCACTTGACCAATCCATTCCCTGTATAACCAATGACACCCTATATATTGTTGTGTGTGGCGCAGGCAGTGATACAAATGGTGAAGTGTTTTTCATTACCTCATTTAAGATACATTTCAAAATTGATGATTGTTTATTTAATAAAAAACAAGTTATTGTACGAGTATTTGTACGAGTCGGGTGTGGAGTGAAGGTGTTCACAGCTCAGAACTCAATGTCTATGGTATAATAGCCCCCACCACCTCCCCCAAACATTCCTTTTTCAGTACGACCTTGCCTACTACTTCTACTATTATAAAATAAGAGGTTTTTAAACATTTTTTTTTTACGTGTTGTTTATTTTTTTTTGTCACATACCTAGTTATTAGGTCTTATACGCATTGATCCTAACTACAAGGCTACTAAATATAATGTTATTTTATTTTTAAAGTGTTATTTCGGTACTTTGTAAGGTACTTAGTAATTATAAACTTCATTCTGAAACAAGCATGTACCCTGCATACCGCCAGTGAACGCCTAAAATTACAATTATTTCTGTCATTAATAAAATAAGAACATTTTAAAATAAGTGTTTTATACTACACTGTTTATTAGTTTTACATCAAAAATTATCGACACATACAAATTTGTAAACAACGATTTTTTTTTAATAAAAAATTATATAGTATTACAGAACCTCAACTCAAATAATTATAAAATAACTGTAGTGGCAGTAATTCTTAATAAATACATTTTTTATACATATATAGTTCGTATACATTCAAAATAATACATAATTTATTGTAAAATGTGTATATTTTATTATGTTTATTGCGTATAATAAAATCCATAGTTTGTGAAGTTTGTACACAAGAATCATGGAGACATACAATAAACTTATTTTCGTCACATTAAGCTTATAAAATACTATTTCTTATTATTAGAGGATAAAAAAAATAATTAATAGTTTATGATAAATATTGTATCATTATTAAAAATAAAACTAATCTAAAAATGTCATAATATGGCACGACTGGTTTCTCGTGGTGTACATATTATAGTTGAATTTATGAGCAATTAAAAATATTTTATAATATTATTTTATGAATTAATGCAGACTTATCCGACCAATTCAATTTCTCTTACTGTGTCGGGCAATTTTTTATCTTTTGTTTCTGGGAACAAAAAAGCCGTTGCCCCAGCTATAGTTGATAAGATTCCGAACAATAAGATCGGCACGTATTGCCCGAAGTAGGCGCCCTGTGAAACAATATTCAAATAACTATTGTATGTTTCTGACATTATATAATAAAAATTGTCGAAAAATCGAAAAATTGTCATGTACACACCAACAACGTCATTTGCGGAGATAATATGAGACCCAATCGACCAATCATGGAAACTGCGCTGATCAATGACATACGCGCTTCGGTGGGGAACATTTCTGCGGTGAACATGTACATGTTGTTAAATGCAATGGTGATTGCATACTTGCTGCTCAAGAACATCAATAGTTTCGTCAATAAATAATCTGTAAAATTATAATACGTTGGTCATAGGTACATTTTATTTCAAAGACCACTTACACAGAATATCACAATTTTGTGTACCTATTATTTTTATAATAATATAAGTATACGAAATTGTACATATCGCAATGTGCACTGCAGTGATCTTTCTACACACATCGATTTCAATATGTAGGTATCTCTTGGGGGTAGGTGGGTCAAATTCCTCCCTCATGGACACTTTACAAATATAATGTGGATTCCACCTAATGCGGGCACAACATTTTTTTTTCGTTTTAACGTACCTACCTATATGTATAGTTAATCGTGCTGGAAACGATGGGGAAATCTGAATTTGGCGGTCAAACTTATTTTAAAGATATAGCGAATGGAAATTTATGGTATTTTCATATACACCCAGCGTGGTCTCTCGATCGTTGCGCTCGACCGGAAAATCTAAATTGAAAACATCCTTCTATTTGTTTTGTAAATCAACCTTGGGTGGGTGGGTGGTTTCTCAGAGTTAAAAAAAAAGTTATTAAAAACAAATATAATATACCCGGCGTGGTCGCTCATGCGCTGCACTCACAATTAAAATTAAAAACATCTCTCGACTTGTTCTGTAAAACCACAATGGGTGGGTGTCAGAATTATTTTTGCACCATAGTTTTTAAAACGTTGATTTCAATAGTTTAAAATTCATTATAAGTGCTGTAAACTATAAGCGGTATGAGTAAAACACCAAAAATCGTGAACTTCGTAAGGCTATATACCATAAGAATTAATGATTTCCTGGCAATTAACTTTTCACAATCGTTCTTAACTGATTGTAATACAAAGGTTACCGAAAAAAAATTTTTAAAAAATTCACCTGGGTTTAACTACATTTATATACTATAAAATTTTACAAATATTTGGTTTGAACAATATCCTTGTTTTAAATTTTAAATTTTTAGGAATAAAAATTAAACCTCTTATAATATTATATATATTAATTTGAACATGTTCGATATATTGATACGTTTAAACTATAATACAATAAAAAAACTGTGCCTGTTGATTCTTAATATTTCTGCTATTATAACTACGCATAAGGAACATTGTATTAGATTTCCAAGCTTTTAGACCCGATGAATAAAATTGTATTGACATTAGGTATAGAATAAACACAAAAAATTTGAAATTTGAAATGTCTATGAATAACTTGAAACATTTTGAAATTATTATCATACAGAAAATTATTAAATAAATATTTGATTAAAATTTAAAGTACCTAACGCGATGGTTATTAGTTGTTGAATAACGACAAAATAAGAAAATCGTTACCTACATGAGAATTCGTTAATTTATGGATGAATATTGAATATCCAATGTCTAACATCAATCGTTCGTAAAAATTAAATTCGACTTTCTGATAAAGTATTTATTTAGCTAAAAAAAAAAAAAAATGAATCGCAATATTTTGAAAATTGTATGTGCATAGTGTATGTACAGTAAGAGCTACACTAAGTAACGAAAACTTTTTCGAAAACTGGTTTTGTGTAAAAAATTTCAGAAGAATATCGAAGCATTTTTACGCCTAAAAAGGTGATGACGCACATAAAAAAAATAAAAATATACATAAAACAGAGCGGTTACCTACTTTCCCCTTTTTTTTATTAGATGTTATTAATGCAAATTGTATGAGGAAATCATAGGTAGCATGTATATTGTCTATGTTATATAATATTTAAACCCAAAAAAATATATTTATCTTTTACATCAACTTAATTTTTTATAAAATAAAAAGACATTTATTTAAGTACTCTATTCTTAGAGAATTTTACACAGATATTATTTTAATTTAACTCATTAACTTAATTTAATGTTGAATGATTTTTTATTTATTTTACCAGTATAAAAGTTATATGGTTGTGAGCAATAATTGTATATTTACAAACTAAGTAGGTTCATTTTAAATAAACAAAGTTATATAATTGGAAATGTATTATATCTAAAGCCAACATTATTTTAATAAAGTTACTTAATTTAAAAACATAATTTAAAAGTAACTTGTTTATAAATAAATAAACAAACAGAATGTATTATAAAATTAAAAATTAAACACCTATGAAAAATAAACTTAGGTACATGAATAAAATTAATTATTTGCATGTTATATTTTGTAAATAATGTAAATTTAGAATATTGTCTTGAATTTATTTTTATACATTTTGGATAAGATGATATATTTTTTACTTGATGCTTTGGCCTATATGTATCACATATTTAAAAAAATATAGATAACATGCATAGAATTATTGAAGTGAAAAAACTATTCAAAATTAAGTTTTTGCTTACCTGTAGGTATTAAGCTGACCATAATACATCCTACGCCACTGAGGAAAAATGAAAACGCTTGGGTATATCGTCTGGACAAGTGTTCCATGACGTACCATGATGTTAAAAATGCTGGTACCTCTATAATGTTTACAAGCATAAAGTTCAAGTATTTGTTACCGGACATCTCCACTGAAGTTAACGAGAGGCCGTAATAAACAAATGTAATCGTGATCCTGTAGTCATACAAATATAATATTAAGATTTTTATTTACATCAAAAAGAGAAGTTGAAAAGCATTAAATAATTTATAATTTAAATTGATATATTATAAATCTAATTAGTAATTACTAATTAGTAATATTACTATACTAACCATGAAAATGTACAGTTGATTACAAGTAGCAAAATTTCTTTTGAACCAAAAATTGTAGTTATTAATTTACTACCAGACAATTCTTTTTTTTTGAACTGAAATGACAGGAAAAATATTATATTAATTTATTTTTTATTATACAATCGAGTGTTATAATAGTTTAACGGACTTATAATTCATAAATGATGTATATTATAAAATATTATAATATTATATCAATTATTATTACCGTGTATTTTGCGTCGGCGACCAATGCTTCATTGACGCTAGGCGGTAGTGTATTGCCATTGGATTCAGCAATTTTGGATAGAATTTTCGCCATTTCTTCAATTCGGTTTTTGGTTTGAAGCCATCTTAAGGACTCTGGCACATACCTATATTACAATAGTATCCAGACAAGTGTGTTTAAATTTTATATATAATGAACAATGGACTTGTGTTGTGTACAATTGTAGTAACAATTAATAATTACCAAATATATCCTAATATAAGTAGTCCGGGTAAGTTGACTATTCTAAGCATTATGCGCCAATCAAGAACCATGTAAGCTGCAAAACCCATTAAGACTGCACCCATGGGATAAAAACAGCCCATCAGAGTACTGACGGCCACTCTAGATTTTGGACTGACTATTTCTATACCTGAAATTTATATTTAGTCATCATAGTAATGATTTCAAAAATATGATGATTTTGAAGGAACCACCAAATTTAAAATAAACTTATTTTTAAATTTAACAAACTCAAACTAAATCAAACTTTCATCGAGTTATTTAAATCAAGTTATTTAAACCCCAAACGAATTTATAAAATCTCTAATAAACACTTAAAAAATAATAATGATGACGAAAAATATGAAAAAATATATTATATTCTTCTTAATGATAATTTAATTTAATTTTTTATTGTTCTTCATTAAATTAATTTCAAATTTCTTTTCCATTTGTTTGACTTTTAAATCATAATATTTTGAGTAAAAAGTAGTCTACATTTAATTGATGGTAACTGGTAAGTAAACCAATTTAATTATTAACAACTCTAATTAATAATATATTTTATAATTGAAATACAATAATTTTAAAACTCAACGTGATGGGTCAAATAAATAGTAGGTAGTAATCATAAATTATATACAATAAAATCAAGATAAATGAAATAACAATTTGGAAATATGCTTTTCAAAATACACATTGACCCATTAATCAGTGTAGTAAGTCCAACAGACAAATTTTGTATATTGTTAATCACAATACAAACTTGTGTGAGTCCCATTATAAAATTAGTCAATTAACCATGAGTCCAATTAGCAGCAAGTACTGTAATATATATTTTACAACATACAGTTTTTGATAGTTTGACAAAAGTCTAATTTAGTAATTAAAAATATATATTTATTTAACATATATTGTGATTATGAAGGTTTGATTTCTTACCTAATACGAAGGTAGCTGCATACACTCCACAAGAAGCCATGGATTCAAAAAATTCAAAAAGTAGGAATGAATAATAATTGGGACTGAAGGACTTGAGTGTGCCGAGTATTGCCGATGCAGCTGATCCTATTATTGACATATACTTGCGTCCATACCTTCATGTTCATAAAAAATAAAAGTAGGTACCTATGTTATTTAATATTACAGAGCAAACTAAATGGAAATAATAACAAGGCTTTTGATTTTATAGGTGGATAATAAATTAAAATAATAAATACACTGAATAAAGATACACTCACATGTCCGAAATACATCCTGATAAAGGTATGCCAATGATCTGACCAAGGCTATTGATGGTTCCCACCATGGTGAGTTTCCATTTGTTTTCCTCGCACATTATACCAAACTATGTGCACAAAACAGTTATTGTCAGAGGCATATAACAAACAAATATATAACGACTTACATCGTTCACTATCGTCCTTTCCATTTCACCAAACACCCATTTGTTGCATTTTTTTTTAGAACTGACGTTGAATGATCCTTCCCTACACATGCTATTGGCAGAAATTACTGTGCCGTTTGTAGTCTGCGATACATAGCGGTACATGAGACATTTGTAAGGCTCATTGGCAATTTTGTTATAAGGTATCGTCTGGTTTAACCATTCCGGATTATACGATGGATTGTTGGTGTCGCATTGAGGGATTTCACACCTAAAAGAATTTTTAAATGGATAGTTAAAATAGTACCCATGTTTATCCTTACATACATATAACGTATGCAAAAAAGATCCTATACAAAATTCAAGTAGTGAAAGCCTGCTATTGTTGGACACCACAAGAACTTAAACGTTATTCATGTAATTTCACAATTCGCAAAAAATCAAAAATTAGTCCTTATTAATACTGCTGACAAAATTATCCATGCATTTCTATATAATACAATAGGTACAGATGTTTGGAACTTTTTAAGCAAAGCTACTTCTATCCAAAAAAATTTTGAAAAAGCTACATGCACCTAGTTTGCTCAATGTACATTATTAGTTATTGTCAAGCTTTAATCCAGAAACTAAATAACAAACACTTAAATAATTAAAATATTAATTTTAATCAATATTGGTAGTTTATATTATAGTTCATCTTCAGGGGTCTTGACTTTGGGTGACGTGCCCATATTTTGAAATCAAAGCCATATATGTATAATCAATAATGTAGTGCCATTAATATGTGTTCATGATATCATTATTTTAATATCAGTTGTGTCTATTTTGCTCTCTTAAATGTTTTAATAAAACACAAGCAGTATTCATTTTATTCAATAATGTATTATTCCTATGTTTTGATTTGAAACAATTCATTGTAGAAAATAAACTTTTCATATTATGTATTTCGACACAAATATTAAGTTTATTTGGATTGGCCATTGGGACACTGTTTTTCAAAGTAAAAAATATTATTTCTGGAAGCAGTGAGTTTTAAACTTTTATAATTGATGACTTCATTTTTTAGAAACAATCATAATTTTATTCACTATTTTTTTTTTTTTAAACGCTAAATTAATCAATTAAATAAAAATATTTTTGTGTGCTATGAAAATTTGGACAACTTTTAGTAGACGTAACCCTATAAAAGCTATTCATTATTTTTATTATTTTATTATAACAAAGTTGATTTGCATGGATGTTCTAAAAATTCAATGCCCCCAATAACAAAATATTTAATTAAAAAAATATGTTATAAATATTCAAATAATACTAGCTAACAACCACATTGATACATTATATACAATAATATATTTAATTATATTCAAAATCTATTTTATTAAGTTATATTTCACTCTCAGATTAATTTACATTTTATTTGGTTTGGTTTCTTAAAATTGTGTTAGTAGTAAATCCTCTAAGAAATTCTACTTTGATTCTTGACAATGAGACGTATTATAGACTATACCTAGTATAGATAATATAGTTTAATGTTATTTTAATTTGACTTAAATGTTTCATAATATATTTGTGTCTATTGGAATTTATATAAAGTTAACATCAAGTATGTATGATCATTAAGAACCAAAAAATAACTACTGCATACAGGTTTTTAGAAATTATCACAACATTTGACTAATATTATAATATACCTTTTATGTGTATGAGTGATTATACGTACTACCTAGGTATACATGTTTTAATTTAAAGATAATTTGCAATTACTGTGTTAAGCTTGTAGTCAAATTGACAAATATAATAATTATATTCAATCAAGAAAATGTCTTCAAGTTTACCTGTATTTAAGGTCACCGGCTGTAATGGCGTAACTAAGTGGTGATATGTTTGAGAACATGAGCACTAGACCCATTAGAGCACACACGGTCACTTGATATGAGCCCAATCCATTGTTGCTCAGGATCTCATCTAAATCCATTGTTTATCCTGAATTCACTTCTTGATATGTACTAAACATAAAAAAACTAAAAAGCAACGTCAAGATAAATAAAATCATACAATGACAATATTATGATTCATAGTGATGGTTTTATGGTAGTACATGATTAGTGTGGGTTCAATATCCTCAAATAATGTCACAAAGTTAAAACATACATATTATATAGGGATTTATAAAATAAAATCATACCACAGACTAAATAATTTAATCTTTTATAATATGACTGTACATTTTATGTTAATACCAGGTATTGGGATCGTTTATTTACTAAATGTTATTAGTTAATAACTGTTTAGTCATATGGATTGTTTTTATATTTTTTTCTTATAGGTACTTTTTTTTTATATTGCCACCTAGTCATTTAGGTAATGGTAACAATGCCGAGATAGGAGTTACAATTGTAATTAATAATTATATTAATTTGTTAAGATGATGTTTTATACACACACATGTGCTATCTGTTATAGGACCATTCTTACAATGCCTGGTTAAGTGTCCGTTAACACTAACCGACTGTTATATGTTTCTTACTGAATGAAATCCAACCATTAATATTCACTTAACGTAACGGAGAATTATTGTTTTACTGGGGTTAGTAAGAACTGATGTCGGTAAATCTACAATGATCAAAAAGCCAAATAAAATAAAATTTGTAAGGCAAACAAAAAAAAAAAAAATAAAACAACGACCAAAAACACATTTTTGGGTAAAGTGCAACAAAAATCTAGAATCTAAGAAACCAAACAAAAAGTTAAGGACATTGTCCCACAAAACAATAAATAGGTACTCAAAAACAAAAAATTCCATATTAAAATCGAACATTAATGTTTTATTAATGAATAGGTAAGCGAAATATTGACAACATTGTATTAGGTATGATAAAATTAATTGTTGTCTTTATGTGACATTCATGGTCATTATGGTAAGAAAATAACTTAAAATGTATTTAACTTAAGTATGTGGGTATTAGATATTATTATAGTTTGGTACAAATCTTACAAAACAAATATAGACAATTTATTATAATTATTGAATTAAGAAGGTCTAATATAAAATACTAAGTTCAAAAAATCTTTGACCGTTATTTCCTTACATTTTACTATTCATTGGTATTTACCATTAATGAGTTTTTGCACCAAGCCGACATTATGTAACTTCAGATGATATAATAAAAAGAATACGTCCAACCTCAACAAAATAAATTTGTAAAATCTACCTACTCGTAAACGTAGATATTAAGAATGGCGTCAACGAGAGCATAAAACCAAATCGAATTCGATTAAGATTGAACACATCGTAGACATCAAAACCTACATAATGCGTAGGTGTATTATTGTATTATATATTGATCATGGTATTATGGTACAACAATAACATAAGAAAAATGCACCGTAGGTGATCGCAAGGCAAAATAGTAATAATATATTTATATATACCTATAAAAGAACTGGAAGATTCCGACGTGAACACACCTGTTGACGGTTGATTTCAACTATAGCAACTAACAAGACGTAACAAGTGCGTTGTGCATGTGCGTAGTGCGTATGACACTGTGAAGCTCCGCCCCGATAACGTTTCGAAATAACTCGATTAAACTGCTACAGGCTGTGCTGCGTACGCTAAAATCCCTTTAGAATAAATAGATACCTACTTAGTACAATATTACGCATTTATGAATGTTCATATTGTGGCTGTTTAATCTTGCGACTCGTTACTCGAGCGCAAGTGTGTAATTTGAATTTAGTATAGGGACTGTAGGGGGGTGGAGGGTACATAAGTAGGTACAGCTGCAGTAGTTAACTCTTCTAGTAACTAAACAGAGCACAACTGTAGTTCTAGGCATTCCAGCAGTCAAACGGTCTGACGTGAGTGCTTTGCTCTTGATGTGCAACGTTCACAGTACCTACATAGGTAGTAGGTAGGTACACACAAGAATTGTATCTGTATAACATGTAACGGCAACTTCTCAGTCACGAGACCACACCACCCACCCACGGCTTGTCCAAAATAATGTACCGTCTACAGTAGTTGTAGGAGAGACGACAAGTAAAGCACGACCGTCATGCGCCAAGCGGCAGTTATTCAACAAGACTACTAAAACTGTTTTCCTGTCTGAAATCGTGCATTATTACCACCCGCCGTTTATAAAATGGAAACGGTTAACATTGTCCGAACGTAGAACCCCTGAAAACAAGAAAATCGGCTGAAAGAGTGGGGGGTCACTTTTCGAGTCTTTTGATGTCAATAATACCTATGGTGCGAACAATGAACATTCCAATGCTTTTTTTTTTCACTCGTGAATTTCTAAACATTCTTCAAGACGTTTACAGGACCCAACAATTTTACCCGAAACCTACTGATTTTAACAATTATTCTGTAACGCCATCTTTCAGTTTGTTTATAAAACCAACAGTTATAATACTATTAACGATATGAATATATTTTAATATAATATAAAATATCGCCTCGCTTGGCGTTTTTGTTGGACTAGTTATCTTATATCCAGTGGGTAGATAATCAGGTAATTACGATTGGCAGCTACTGGAGTTTCTACAATTTAAATGTCTGTTATTGTTCTTAGTCGAGTCGAAAGAGTTATGGTTTCTTCGAGGGTGTTTCTGAATAGGTCCCAATTCGTTCTTTTGTTTGTTTTGTACATTTTCTTTAGTTTCACTATATTGGAGCTTAATGAGACAATCACAGGTAGTGATCTGATGTTAGATCTACTAGTATCCTTAGACTTGCGTATTCATATAATTGGATGAAATTCCTTTCATTAAGTAGAAGCCATTACGATCAAATAATTTATTTGGATCTGTCGTCTAGGAGGTTGGTTTTCAGATGAATTTCGCATTAATTTTATTTGCTTATTTTAACAATGAATTAACTCGTTTTGGTAGTGATCAATTTTGATCCCCAGAAAGTGTGTTTGGCACAGACCTTACCAAAAATAACCGATTTTGGAACCGGAACCCTTTGAATATTGGGAACCGAAACCCTTATTTAAATAAATTTTATACCGGAACCCTTATTTAAATTAATTTAGTAACCGGAACCTAAATTTTAGTTTTTCTGGGAACCGAACCGATACCGTAAAAATCATCAAGGTTCCACTCCCTGGTTTGGCATTATAATTTCCTCCAGCAATGAATATACTGCCTAGTGTCTGGAAGCATAGGTTGACCTCAAGTTTTACATTGAAATGTGATAGGTATTTTTTTGTAATTATATAGTGGGGGGGGGGGGGGGGGTTACAAGGGCTCACGCAAAAATATAAAAAAATTGTTTGGGTTTGGTTGTGAAAAATCAAAAGCAATTAAAACACACTACGCAAAATCAAATAATATTAGGCAACCAACATTCCTTAACAATATTAGGTACATAATCGTTAAACTACAAAAACAACACATCACTGTAGCAATTTTATCACTATTAACATTCCATCCACGACCTAAAAATATGTCCATATATAGGCATAAAGAACCAATACGTTAAAGAAGAGATTACGGAACACCTGCATTATTTATTTATATGACTCATTTAGTAACTATTCGTAACACGAACAACCTACATCCATTAACCAAATACCAATTAAATTATTATATACTTATTATTTTAAGCTATTATGTACTTTAAAATACATATCCTTACAAAATTAAGAACAGATATTATGTCAAACATTTCACCCCATACTAATCGTGTATGATATCGCATACACATCTTACAAACATCATACATCGCCAAAAATATATATTGAACAATGATATAAAAAAAAATAAAAGTGCACAATATTACTTGTTGGATTAGCTTTAGTTATCATTTATAAAAGTGTGGAAATACGTAACACAAATTTACAATATTATGCTGTATTTTTGAAAATAAAAGTAGCTTTCATTCATTCAAAATTCAACTGATTTTAAAATTATTTTTTATCCAAATTATAAATAGATAACTGTATAAAATGTATATTTTTGAATTTTTAAAAAATCAGAAAAAGATTTTAAAAATTGTATAAAAAATGTTTTAGAAAAGGGGTTTCCAACCTTTTTTTACGGGGGGGCCAAAATTTAGATAAGCTTTGGTATCGTGGGCCAACATTTTTAGAGGAATAGATCGGTTAAGAAATTGAAGAATAGATAGTCCTGCACAGTTAATTTGTCGATAGAGATAAATAATTTGATGACTCAATTTCTTACCTGGCTCGAACCCTGAAACTCTTTTAGAGCTTAGGAAATGCAGAGGACATAGGAATCGTACACTTGTAACAAATTAACACTTATTTTTATTTGATAAAAGCTTAAAATACACACGCGTAGATTATGGGCCAAGTATTGCCTATTTCGAAAGTTAAGCCTCTGTGGGCAAAAATAAAGATGTATCCTCGAGTGGACACAGGAACACTCTGCTGGCGATTATGTGTCTGGAGGGGCGTTTTATGCTATTTTTTGAAGGTCAAATTGTTCCTAGCGTGTTTTATTTGAATTATATTTTATCTTATAGTTTTACAATCGTTATTATAATTAAAAATTATTTTAATGTAAATAGTACATCCGTGGGAAATAGTACTTTGTACTTTGTAGGTACATATAATGTTAGTGGGTATTTCTAATAAAATAAATAATATAAGTAAATAATGTAACTGAATAATCAAATAGAATAATAGTGTTGATATATTACAAATGATGTCGATATATTATCATATAATATATTGGTATCATGACACACTGAATAATGGTAACACTAGACAATGCTGTTTTAATGGGACGAGTAATATTGTATTCACATTTCACAAACATGGCACAGGGTAATTTTTTTTATATATTTAAAGCGTATGTAAATGATTTTTGTAAAACAATAAATTTGATAGGTATTCCATATTATTTCTTATACTACTGTCTTATACTATATTATGTTTCAATAACAAACATTTTTATTCACAACGTATCATTGCACTGCGGCGTCTGACTAGATACTCACCA